GGGACTCGTCAACTGGATGTGCGTGCACCTCAGACTTGATGTTCACTCTGGGACTCGAACCGAGGACCATTCGCATCTGCAAACAATAATATGAATCTATAATTTATTATTTTGATTGAGATCATGAATTGATCAATGCTAGAACACCATTGAAAACGTGAAAGTATTGGATGACTGTTACATTCTACTATCCACGATCCCACACCAAAGGGATACGAACCCAGTACCCTTGGTCTCATGTGCGAACGAATAACTTCTAGATCACTGAGCCGGCATCCATGCGTTTATTAATGACTTACTTCAAGATGGATTTCCTGGAATTTTCATTAGTCAGTAACTCACTGAAGGCAATGGTGGACAGTGGCTCAACTTCGTGGATTGGTTGAAGTTGGATGGTTCAGTCATCTAGATGTTCAGCGTTTGAGCATGAAACCGAAGGTCATAGATTCAAATCCCTTTGGTGTGAGATCGTGCATACGCATTACTGAAGAGTCCGATACTAAGGCGAAACGGTCGTTCAACGCTTCCAGATTAATGATTTTCATTATATACTCTACTGCTGAATTATATCTTAAGGTAACTCTATTCTCTTCTTACTATAATTATCACTAAAACTTCAGTGGATATAGTTTTAAACATTCAGCCCCATGTTTCTTTAAGTAACATTAATAATAAATTTACTCCATTATAAATTAAAGGATTAATGTCATAACTCATGATTTCGTTTTATTACATTACATGAGGTTCTATTGTTAATACACTTGTCTTATTACATGTGAATGACTATTGGCTACATATTACATGTATTCAACGCTAGATGTAATGTGTGCTACTGATGTCAACAGATATAAATAATATGTATCACTAATCGATTGTAAAATAATTGGCGGCAGAAAGTTAAGAAGATCAAAGAAAACAGAACAAGAATAAACAATGATTAGTATGGAAACGAAAGAACAATGAAGTCTGAGACAATAGATTAACATTTCGCAAATGAAGTATTTACTGTATAATTTTCAGATTTTACTAAAAGATTCTGTAATTTTGTGTGTTCCCACTTGTGTTCTTATTCACTACATAATAACGTATAATTCAGATTAATGTGTGCTCCTTCAGTTATTATAAAGTTTTTGATTAAGATCACAAACTGATTGCTGTTAGACCACCACTGAAAACCTGGAAGCACTATATGGCCGTTTCGTCCTATTGTAGACTCCTCATCAGTGAGCATCCACGATCCCGCTAGTGGGATTCGAACCCATGGCAAACGCTTAACCACTAGACCAATGAGTCTGTATCCAATCGTGTTAATGTCTAACCTCAGCTAATCCACGAAATTGCTAATGAGGTATGGCTACTTTGACCGATGCAATTATGTGCCAGGTCCTACGTTGTAGCTGACTGACTGATTATATGTAATAAACTAACAAATAACCTTCATAGTTGAAAATAAATGGCTATCAAACTGCGTTTACTTTTTATTTAAAGTTATAGAATATATATTATGCAGGATAAGTGTTCACTTCAAGATAACTGAAGAAGAGGGGGAACTTTGTGATGTATTTTATTGTGAGAATAATCTAGCTTATTTAACGTACAGATTCAAATGAACTAGCTATTATAAACAAAGATGGATGGTGAATAGCAGTGGAATCCAGGATACACGTTTCAAGCGAACGATACAAGTTTCAAATTCAATAGTGAACATCAACTGTAAAATGTAGGTACATCTAGCTGACCAGTTTCAAACAGAACGAAAGGCGTATCTGGCATTCCACTATTAGCCATCATCCATCCAAGTTTATTATACTTGTCACTTATGTCAATAACGAGGTAATCCACACACACACACACACATAGGATGTACAAATATCAACTAGAGACTGATCAATTACGATCCTAAATATCAATGTGTAGTAGCTTCAAATAAACCATACCAAATGAATAGAATCTAATCATAATATAAACTACATAAAATCGATTTTATTAAATTTCATATCACCGTTGAATCTAAATTACTTTTCTTAATCTGTTCCATATGATTTCTAATGAACGATTTATGATTAATTAAGATGGTGGAAAAAAAATATATAGCTCATATGGATGTTTTTGATAGAGTTTTTCGTTCTCAGAGTTGGATGACTTACTCATGGATCTTTCATCGTTCTTCTGAACGACATCATCAGCACAAACATCAAGTAGAAGTGAATTGTTCACATTTTACACATGTGATTCACAGCTTGTCCTGTAGACGCCGAGGTTTACTATTAATTGATTATGAATGAGATACGATGATGACAGTTGTCAAGATTATGACATTTGAATTCCCAGAATGCTGTAGAGTAAGTTATGCAATATGTTGTAATATAGACAGAATAGTTAGATAAAGTGAAAATTCAGTTTAAATAATATCACATATTTTAAGTATCATATACATCATTTACTGTGACGTTTACTACTGATGTCGACAGATATAAGTAGTAGGGATCATCCACTAATTGAAAGTGAAATGCATGACGGTAAAAGATTAACAAGATCGAATAGAAAAGAACGGGAATAGAGAGTAATTAGTGTAAGAACGAAGGAAGGAACAATCCAGTTTTTAGACAACTGATGAATAGTTTAGAAATGAAGTATTTACTGTATGGATCGTAGATTTACCAAGATATTCTACAATGTTGTATTAAAATTCACTTCTTCGTCCCTGCCTATATTCTTGTTTACTACATAATTACTTAAATACATCTTCTTTCATTTAATTATTCCACTATATTCTTTCTGATGAATTTAATGAAGCAACATACAAGGATTAGCAACCTAGACGACTAAAACTTAACAGTGATTCAAACAATAATTTCATGTAACTTCTTATAAATAGTAAGTTGGTTAAATTAATTACTAAGACCTATTTTCTATCAATATGTGATTGTGGAAATCTTTAATCGATCAATGGTAACAATCTTTACAACACCATACTAAAAATTAACATATGCTCACTAGTGACCCCACCTGGAGTCCCTCCCCGGGGCTACTGCCAGTCCCAAGCCGTGAAAAAGGAGGAGGGTTGGGCATGAGGTTAGCGACGCCATCCCATAGAAAACTAACTCGCTAAAAAACGCTAACGAGGAAAAAATAATTCAAACCATTTAAACTCTGTCCTGGGAATTAGAAGATCTTCATTTAGAAGAGCTATGACGCTTCATGGTGAAAGCGGAGTTCCTTCGGAAGTTACAAGGCCGATGCCTCTTTCTGACTAACAGAGCAACCATTAATTTAGGTACATGGAATGCTCAAACAATGTAGGAGACCGGAAGAGTCTTCCAAATTGCTGTTGCTGCACTAGTGACTAGCTTCGTTAGGTAAGATGTTGTGACCAGTGAAGTTCAATCGAATCTGTTGTAAACGAGTTACACATTGAAAATAATCAAAAAAGATCGTGTAAGTTGAAGATAAACATTAACCTCATTGTCTAGTTGTTAAATGTTTGTGTGCCAAACTAAACATTATGGATTCGAATCCCTTTAAGAGTTCCATATTAAAATGAAATAGCCATCTAGTACATTTAGGCTTTTAATAATGATCTAATATTGATTGATTCATGATCTTAATTAAATATTTTTTTATTTTACACATGTTTTATAATTCATACAGAACGATGAACATTCAAGTAGATGAACTATTTCATAAGTTACATATTCAGTATCCCTTTTTATATTTTTGATTCATTGAATTCATCAATGAAAACACCAATCGGTTCATGATCTCAATCAACAAAAAAAGCTTTTCATTCTCCACAATAACTAAACTGATAATTACCATGTGCTCACTAGTGACTAGCTTTGTGAGAAAATTCTCGAACTTCTGGTGAGAAGCTGTGACCAACGGAGTTAATCCGTGTCGGGCAGAAATAGGTGTCTACCTCAGTACAATGGATGATGGTCGCGCAACTTCGTGGATTGGTTGAGGCTAGACATTAACACTGTCGGATCCCAGCCTACTTAATGGTCCATTAGGTTAAGTGTTCGCGCACGTGAGACTGAAAGCCCTGGGTTCGAATCCCGCAAGCAGGATCAAGGATGCGTACTGATGAGGAGTCCTATAAAAGGACAAAACGGCTGTCCAGTGCTTCCAAGTTTTCAATGGTAGTCTAACATCAATCAGTTCATTATCTCAATCAAAAAAAAGATGATATTTGAGTTACACTTGTCAAAAACAAAACTCCCTCCAAAACAAAAAAACAAACACAAACATACACACATCTTATTTTCTCTTAAACTATTGATCTAAAGGTAAATGTTATAGTTTTATTGATTCATTCTATTACACATTAGTATTATGTATGTATCTATGGGCAAAAAGAGAGGAAGGGGGCTAGGCAGAGTGAGGGAAAGAAAGAAAGCAAGAGAGCAAGAAAGCGACAGAAATAACTACTAACTGTACAGATTAGACAACCCTCTATTCTCAATTGTCATGTGTTCACTTATCGATCATAATCTTCTATAATGTTCGAAATCAATCTAAACAACAACAACAACAACAACAAAAAAGACAATGAAATCTATGCTCTTTTTTCTCGAAATTTTTTTTTATTATTTTTTTCTTGCATCACGAATAATCAATATAGTTTTCTTTTTTCTTTTTCTTTATTTTTCTTTTTTTTAATGATTCACAATAAATAAATAAATATATGTATTATTTCATTTAGTTAAATATTAGACATAATAGTTAATAAGAGTTAACTATTCAGTTAAATCAAATCATATATGGATACTAACACATATAACACATCACTAACAGCCCACATTCAATTAGATTCTTATAAATAGTTTCTGTATTATTGTTCATTTGTATGTAGATAGATGATATATGTGGGTATAACTGTGTACGTGTGTGTGTGTGTGAGTATGAGTGTGAGTGTGGGTGTGGGTATGAGTGTAGTATAGTATAGTTAGTTAGTGTAGTGTAGTGTAGTGTAGTGTGTAGTTTAAGTTAAATGTATGATTGAAATGAATAAACAATGACAATAAGAAGACATAGGAATGCATTGTATGATTGTAAATTAGTTAAATTATCATGATCATAATCATTATTATTATGATGATCATGATTACCATCATCATGATCATGATCATTATCTTCTTCGACCAAATCTAAAATTTATAATATTGAAATCATTAGAAGAAATAAAAGTAGAGTAATTTAGATTGAATGGTGATATGAAATTGATTTTATGTAGTTTATATTATGATTAGATTCTATTCATTTGGTATGGTTTATTTGAAGCTACTACACATTGATATTTAGGATCGTAATTGATCAGTATCTTGTTGATATTTGTACATCCTGTGTGTGTGTGTGGATTACCTCGTTATTGACATAAGTGACAAGTATAATAAACTTGGATGGATGATGGCTAATAGTGGAATGCCAGATACGCCCTTCGTTCTGTTTGAAACTGGTCAGCTAGATGTACCTACATTTTACAGTTGATGTTCACTATTAAACTTGAAACTTGTATCGTTCGCTTGAAACGTGTATCCTGGATTCTACTGCTACCTACCAACTATCTTTACTTATAGGGATAAGATTAGTATTTTCCAAGTATAATTAGAGCATGAGTAGACAAGTGTGAACTGAAGACGTTTAATCCGCGTAATAAAAAAACATGCCAGAGAGTCGACGTAAAATAAGATTTTATCACTCTTGAGTTTTGGTCCTTATCATTAGATGATAGTAGACATATCACTAGACCCTCTGAAAAATTCCCTAGTTTATGAAGTCTGTTGAGTTTAGTTTGATATCATGAATGGATACGTGTTAGGTTATCATTGAACACCCGGAAACATTGGATAGCTGTTTCGTCCTGGTATGGGACTCCTTAGCTGTGCGCATCCACGAACCTGTACTTTGTATTCAATCGCGTGCTCTTCACTATCGTGTGCAAACGCGTGATATATGAACAAAGTGAACATTATCATAACAGTATCTAACCACTTATTAAACTGAAGAAGAACAGCAGAAAACTGGAAAGCATTAAGTGGCTAGTTTTCATTGTATTTTTTTATCCAATTATTACTCAGTAATCATGACATAATACAAAATAACAAAAACCATCACTATAAGCTCAGTTTGCGCATAGAGCTAATTTATGCTGATCTAACTTAGATGGATTCATACTTTCAATGAAATTTATGAGTTGTCTTGATTATCAGTGACTACTTTATTGACTTATTATTTAGTTTATGGCAGAACGATATCAGAGATTAGCGATGAATAGGCTTTTGTTCATCACATCATAATATCTCTATGTAAATGCACATGAAATGATTACTATCGTACCCAAATGCCCTGGTAAGGTGGAGAGCGGGGAGAGTTAACTCTCCCTCTTCAAATACTCTCACATGGCCACGTACATACAACTATTGACATAGATGTCCTACTCACTACCTTCTCGTGACACGGGTGTTGTTTACGAAACTGAGAGGACGAAAAACGAATGTCTGGCACTTTAGTCAAGTTGGTGGATATGGAGGAAGCACCTAGAAGAGTTTGAAAACTTTTACTGCAAACCAATAGTGTACATAGGTTGGCTCAAGGATTCTAAGGAAACAAATGGTGTATGAACCAATCGTCGGTCACCAGCAACTACGAGACTGCATTTAGTCATCATGGATTGATAATAGTAAAGCCTCATAATAAAGTAATTTGCTGAGGCGTCTCACATTAGAACGAAACGAACGTCCAATCCTTCCAGGTTTTCTATGATGCCTTAGCTTTAATTGATTCATGAATTCAGTCATTAAATTACTACTATTCAACTATTCCTTTTCTTTGAGTACTCCATGTGTGCTCAAAAACACTTGAATAACCATACATTCTTCGCATTTTTGGAATATTATGTCATTGTTACATCTTAAGTAGTGTAATGGGTTCAGTTATCATCAACAATACAAGTAGTAATATGTTATGCAATCCATAGACGTAATTTCCTATTTATAACATTAATCCATGTTAATTACGTCTCCAATCCTAGTGTTGTATCTAAAATAAGTATATAAGATTTCAGATGACTTTCTTTTATTCAATTTCTCCAGCAATTCGGAAGACTCTTCCGGTCTGCCACATTGTACGAGCATTCCATGTACCTAACATAATGGTTGCTCTTTTAGTCAGAAGGGGAATTAGCTTCGTGAATTCCGAAGGACCTCCGCTTTCACCATGAGGCGTCATAACTCTTCTAAATGAAGACCTTCTAATTCCCAGGGCAGAGTTTAAATGGTTTGAATTATTTTTTTCACGTTAGAGTTTTTTTAGCGAGTTAGTTTTCTACAGGATGCGATCGCCAACCCCATGCACAACCCTCCTCCTTTATCCGTTTTTTGAACCTGAAGTAACCCCATAAGGGCTCCAGGAGGAGTTTTTGGTCAGTTAACTTCGACTAAATAGTACCAATACATGATGTACAAAACGACAACCGTTTTCGCTAGTTTGTAATATCTACACTCCCAACGTATACATTTTGGGAAGTTCATTCTTGTTAACGAGACTTGAAAGTTACAATTTAGTCCAATAAATTTCTGGTTTCTAAAAAATATTGCAGAAGCCGTAAACAAAAGTCTGTAAGCTAAATAGACAATCAATGAGTCTTTCAAAGTACAGAATTATGTAATAGTGATTTGTGAACCAATTCCGTATGTTTAAAAAAATTTCGGATTTTCTGATAGTTGCCAACAGTCATACAATTCAATCCTCATCTGTCTTAATAACCAAGTTATGTCTATTAGTTGGTACACATGAATAAACACAAAGCTTCATTCTTTTGAAGAAGATCATAGTGATAATTATCTACTGTTGTAGTTATCACATAAGAAAGCAAGAAACCTCTTATTGATACACAGTAGTTTATATGGAAGATTTTATACTACTACCTATTCTAAAAGTAGTACAATGCTTTTGAAGGAACAATATAGAATTTTTTGAAACATTTCCTCCTACCTGAAAGAGAAGTAATGAAAAATCTGTAGTTTAAATAGGAATACTAGATAGTAAGTAGTTATTTCTGATTCTGATCGTTAAGAAATACGAATTCAAAGAACCCATTCAGTGATGAAATCAAATGAGAATGGTTAATTTAATTACAGTGAAAGTATTGTTCATGACTATTCTGGGAAAATCGAAAGTACAGATGTGAATGGAACCATATGTTGTAGTTGCAAATTGAAGAATCTATCTATCTATCAATCTAACCATATATATACTCGATAAAAGCCGTTGATTGTTTGGCCAAGATATATTTCAAATTAGTGCTTTAGACTTCTAGTGATTTCGATTAGGATGAACTTAATCTTGCATCTTCTTCCGAGAATATAGTCATTCTAAATGGCAACTGTACAGATAAGGTCGAATTTGATATCATCTCACGTGAACTGTTGATTTAAAAGTATTGAAGCCTTTATATGATAATTGCTCATTATCAAAGATATTTCAATGGTTTGGGACAGGTATCTACCTCAGTATAATGGAAGATGGTCGCACAATTTTGTGAATTGGTTTCGGTTAGACATTAACACCGTTAGACGCCGGCTCAGTGGTCTAAAGGTTGTTTTCTATTTATTTTATTTGAACATAAATATTGGTACAAAGGGACACCGAATACATGCCGCCACGCAAATCACTTGATTTGTGTGTGTGCTGCGGTATTGACCCGGTGCCTTAACCGAAGCAGGCGGTTTTCTTAGAGGGTCACATCTCGAGTCTTTGACCTAAAGATCTAATCCAAAAGGCAGTGGAATAACGTAAGGAGATGCAGTCTCATAGTAGTCGGTCACCAATAACTGATTCATACGCCATTTGTTTCCTTAGAATCGTTGAGCCAGCCTATGTACACCATTGGTTTGCAGTCAGAGTTCTCTATATCCACCAACTCGGATAAAGCGCCAGACATTCGCTTTTCACCTTCTGACCTTCGTAAACAACACCCGTGTCACGAGAATGCTGTGAGTAGGACATCTCTGTGTCAGTGGCCATGCGAGAGCATTTGGGGAGGGAAAGTTAACTCTCCCCACTCTTCGGCCATACGAGGGCATTTGCGGGCAATTATTTCCATTCTCATTTGGTTTGAATTTATAAAAGGTACAAATTACAAGTGATTTACCGTAAGAAGGTAAAATCTTTATTAATTTAAGAAGACCTTTATTATAGAGTTAAACTAATGAGAATAACTGTTTTCTAATTTAACGGTTAATGATAAATAATTGCTTGCACAAAACACTTTAACACTAAGTACTTCTCCGGAATTGATTAAATGTATGACAGTTTCTAATAAAGATTCAATTTCAAGAGGAAATCTCAAAATAGTTTTAAAACATGTTCAAAGATGTTCAAGGGTATTTAATTTAGCACATTTCCGTTTCCAGTTGGGGAAGGAGATCTGACTCTCTCCACCTTCGACCATACCAGGGCATTCGGAGACTCTGAAGGTTAAGCGTTTGAGCGCAAGATCGAAGGCCATGGGTTCAAATCTCACGAGCAGGATCATGGATGCACACTGCTGTGAAGTCTCACATTAGAACGAAACACCTGTCCAGTGCTTCCAAGTATCCAACAGTGGTCTAACATCAATTAGTTCATGATCTCAATCAGAAAAAACTTAATCATCTCCACAAACCCAATACTACTAATAATAATAATAACAGCACAATAATAAGAATATCATTACCTAGGACGTCCTATAATTGCAAAATATTCATTTAATTTATGTAAATATGTTCTAAGTGCTTCAGGAGTTTCAAATATAAATGGTCTTTCTGGTGGTGCAATCTCGATTGCTCTTGTTTTAATAATTTTTCTTCCATTATTATTATGATCATGATCATTATGATGTAATAAAGAATTAATAGTCATTCTATTCAATGGTAAATATGTTGTATCTTCATCATCATGATTATCATGAATAGTTTTCCATTTATATGAATCATATTGTTGTCCATTAATTTCATAGATATAATGAATCAAAATTAATATTGTTACTAAGTGAATATAAATTGAATGAAATTTGATGGGTTGGATACTATTTGAAGAAAACATTCTCCTTAGTAACTAAAAAAGGAAAAAAAATGTAGATAATAATTTATAAGTAGTATAAATTCATTGAATTGAAATATAATCCATATCTGATCTAGTTTGTACTGTTTGTTTGATAAATGGATAATGGCTAGCAGTGTACTGGTCAGATGGATGTACCTACATTCTATAATTGATGTTCACTGTAGAACTCTAATCCAGTATCGTTCGTTTCAAACGCCATCACGTCATTCACTTAGCTATTGAGTCCTAATAGCCAACTGCTTGTGCCATGGGATGAAGTTTACATTCAGTTGGTATTGTTTGTTTGAATGTATCCATTGATGTTCAGGGTTCAAAATTGATCAATCTTTTGTTGGTATATGTGGATGCGATACAAATTGCTTCGATATTGCCATATGTCACAAGCATTATAAGCTTGGATGGATGGTGGAATCCAGGATTCACGACATATTGTGTTATTTGGGACTGGTTAGCTGGATGTACCTACATCCTATAATTGATGTTCACTCCAAGACCTGAATCCAATACTGTTCACTTCAAACACCATCGCGTTATTCACTTAGCTATTGAGTCCTAATAGCAACTTGCTTGTGTAGTGGTATGGAGTTTAAATTCACATGGTATTGTTTGTTTGAATTTTCCTATTGATACTTAGCACTGCAATTGATCAGTCTCTTATTGACATCCTGTGAGGATTGCCTCGATATTGTTATAAAATCACAAATAGAATGAGATGGAATGCGTGCTAGATTCATCTGCTAGCCCCCGTCCGTCCTTGCTTACAATGCAATTCGGTTTAATTCAATATAAGCTACAAGAATAAATTAGACATTATTATCGCTGGATGCCAACCAGATCAGTGATCTAGAGGTTAAGCATTCGCAAACAGGGTAGAAGGTCCTGAGTTCAAATCCCGTGTGCGGAATCGCACACATACGCACTGCATACTAGGACGAAAAAGCTATCCAGTATTTCCAGATTTTCAATGGTAGTCTAAAATTGATCGATTCATGTTTTCAATTAAAACTCGTCTATCTTCACAACTTTATAATGATGATAATTTATATACTGGATGTATTCCATAGAATTACAATTTTTCTTATTCACTAATGTTTTCTAACATCATTATTATCATAGTTAGCACTTTTAATAAAAAAAAAACAAAAGACCGAGAAGTTAGAAAATACAGTGGATACATTGAGTACAATCGATCTGATACAGATGTGAATGCGCAAGTCGGTAAAGCAAGAGAGAATATCTACAATGAAGAACATCTGGAACTCTAAACAACTCTCTATCAAAAAACACCAAGTTCAGAATTTTCAATACAAATGTCAACACAGTTCTACTTTATGTGGTGGAAACTTGTAGAACTACGAAAAACATCATCCAGAATATACAAGTGTTTAATAACAATTGTCTATGCAAAATACTTCAGATCCGTTGGCCAGACACTATCAGCCATAACCTACTATGGGAGAGAACAAACCAGATTCCAGCGGAGGAAGAAACGCTGAAAGTGGATAGGACACACATTGAGGAAAGCACCCAACTGCGTCACAAGACAAGTTCTCACCTGAAACCCTTAAGGCCAAAAGAGAAGCGCAAGATCAAAGAACACATTAAGCCGTGAAATAGAGACAGGTATTGGAAGAATGAACAACAATTGAATAGAAGTAGAAAGGAAGGCCCAGTAGAGAGTAGGTTGGTGAATGCTGGTCGGGGGCCTATTCTCCATTGGGGGTAACAGGCGTAAGTAAGTAACAGTGAATACATGTCAATTAAGATAATTAATTGTATATGCTTTCCACTTCTATTAAAGCATAGATTAACTATATATGTATCGTAATGTTGAAAAAAAGTCTGAAAATATAGTCGATATGCAATTGTAGCATCTAAATTAAATAACTAGTTCTTGATTGAGTTTTGTTCTCTGAGCTGGATGGTCTGGTTGTGGAGCTTTCGTCGTTTTTCTCAACGAAATCATTAGCACAAACTTCAGGTAGAAGTGAAATGTTCAAATTTCTCCACATATGGCTAACAGCTTATCCTATAAACCTCGATGTTGATTGGTTCTTGCTGACATTAAATATGTTATTGTTTATTTCTTTGCTTTGGTTGTATCTCTCATTGCTTTGATTTTTCGTCCATATTTTCTCTAGATTAGGTGATATATTGTATCGATTTCAGTGTACTTGTTAATTGCTGATATAATTGCCTTTATCCAAGATTCCCACATTTTTCCAGTCGAATGTGTATCCGCAGTAGTTCATGTGCATTGATATAAGAGAGGAAATGTCATAGCGTTTGACCGTTAATTGATATTCATACAGGCATAGATGAAGAGGGCGTCCACTTTGTCTGATGTAGTGGTTTACGCTTAAAAAAAGACTAAATATTGATTGTTAATCGACGTGTTGGTTTTGTGATGTATGCTGTTTATATGGATAGATATAAGTAGTATGTAACAGGACTTGGAATTTGAATACTTATTAGAGAAAGATTGAAATAAAGAGAGCAGAAAGAGAAACAAAGAACGATCGGAATAACAAAAGGATTAGGAGAATGATGGAATACGTAAAGAACAACTCAAGGAAGATATGCAAATGATGTATTTAATCAATGATTTCACCATACCTAAGTTGTTGTTCATTACAATTTGAGTAAGAATTACACAATTCATCATTAAATGTAATTGAAGGTAAAACGTTGTACATTTAATTCTCCAGTACACTCACAGTTATTGAATTCTGAGTTATAAAAACTAGGATAATGTACACTATCACAAGTATTATCTAGTCATGCACAACTATTGGTTTCGTGTTTTTTCTCAACCGTCGATAAGACTTACTTACTTGTGCCTTTTACTCCTCATGAAAAAGCATAAGCCACTAACCAGCATTCTACATTCAACTTTGTCCTCAACAATCCTTTCAAGTTCTTTCTAATTGCTATTCATACTTTTTATATCGGCTTCCAATTTCTTTGATCTTCCTCTTTTCCGTTTCCTTTCAAGATTTCGGGTAAGCGCTTGCTTTGTGATGATAAAGTTTGATGATTTCTGAAATGTGTGTCCTATCCACTTCCATCGTCTATCAGTAATCTGCTCCTCATCTGAAAGTTGAATTGTTCTCTCCCATAGTGACCTGTTTCTGATAGTATCCGGTCAACGGATATTCAGTATTTTGTGTAGATAATTGTTCATAAATACCTGTAGATTTCGATGATGGTTGTGGAAGTTCTCGAAGTTTCAGCTCCGTACAACAGAATTGTGCTCATGTTCATATTGAAGATTCTGACTGTGATGTTGGTTGATAGTTATTTTGAATTCCATATATTCTTCAACTGTAGGAATTCTATCTCATTCACTGAACATTGATCATTATTAACATCAAGTTACACATACTTCCACACACATACACACACATTCATTGATTTTCACTTTATGAACTTTTCCCATGATTCACATCTTCATAACTTATGTTATCCTATTTCTTAAACTCAACAATTAAATATGATTACATCAAGATTTAGTGTAGATTTGATTTGATGAAGTTCAGAGGTTTAGAGGTTAAGCATTCGCACGCGTGCGGAATAGTGGATGCACACTACTGAAGAGTCTTATACCAAAGACGAAACAGCCTTCAATTACTTTCAGGCTTTCAATAATGGTCTAACATTCATCAATTCATGATCTTAATCAAGAAGTTCAGAGATGTTTACTAGATGAAATGTTGGAATGATTTAGATTTCAATGATTGAGATTAATTTCTTTTTTTCTTATTACAAATAGATTCATAAAGAACAAATTTTGTAATAATCAACCTTAATTTATGAATGTTGACATTTTCAGTTCAAATATGTTATGTAAATTAGTTTGGTAATCTATTGTTATTACGTATATTAAACTGATAGAGCCATAATTACTAAAGTATGACCTATATATGTATATGTATACACGAGCTTATCTTATTTGTCAAATATATTTTACTGAAATCTTCACAAAACCCCTTCTGATAATAATCATCTATTCACTAGTGACTGACTTCATGAAGCATTTCTTGGAGTTCTAGTGAGAAATTGTGACCAGTGAAGTTCAACCAGGTCTGTTGTGAGATGTCAGCGCATTGAAGACAATGGTGTATGGTGGCGCAATTTCGTGAATTGGTCGAAGTTAGACATTAACACCGTTGAATGACGGTCGGCTCAGTGATCTGGAGGTTAAGTGTTTTAGAGCGACAACGTGGGTCTTGTTTGCGAGTCCTACATGCGGGGTCGTGGACGCGCACCGCTTAGGAGTCCTATATTAGGACAAAACGGCCGTCCAGTGCCTTCAGGTTTTCCATGATGGTCTAGCTTCAATTGACTCATGATTTCAAATATTGTAATTTATTTTAAAATGAAAATTTGTGGAGATTGTAGTAATTTTAATAGTTAGATTCATGAGCTGATCTAAGCTAGATCAAATTGAAAAACCTGAAATTACCGGATATCCATTCCATCTTGATATGGAACTATTCAGCAGTGCGCGTTCTGGATCCCCCACGCGGAACGTGAACCCAAGACTTACGGTCTCGCTCTCGAACACTCAACCTCTAGACCACTGAGCTGGAAACTTATAATGGCCTAACTTATCTCGATTCATGAATTTGACTATGAAAATTACTACAATCTCTACAAACCCTCATTTTAATAATAATAATCATCATTAGCTCACTAGTGACCATCTTCAAGATGTGTTTACTGGAGTTCTAATAAGAAACCGTGACTAATACAGTCCAATCCGTGTCGGGTGGAGACAGTTATCCATCACAGACAATGGATGAAGGGTTGTGTAAGATTATCGGTTGATTGAAGTTAGACATTAACACCGTTGGATTCCGGCACAATGGTCTATAGGTCAAGCTTTAACACGTGAGACATACTACTTATGTCGACAGACATAAGTAGTATGTAACACCAATCAGAAGTGAAGTGCACTGCAGCAGAAGGTTGAGAAG